AGTCATGTGTTTACAAACACTGTTTGCTATTGATAATATTCCAGGGACTGCCTCAAGGAAAAAAAAAAAAGCTTTTAAATGGAAAATGCCACATAAGCAGACACAAAGCAGCTGTAACAAACTTCTAATAAAGCAATTGGTAATTACTTGCCTTTCTATTTTTTAAGAAGTGCACTGGCGATGATTCTCTCTGCCAATGACTCAGCTTGTAATTGAAGGAAGCAGAGGAGTGGGGAGGAGTTAGGAAGATCACATTGTATTTGTTTTGTTAAGTAATATCTCCTGCTCTGTGATGGATGGTAACATGAAAACAAACACTCAGCGGGAACGCTGGAAGGTTTTGTTCCCTGTTCCTGGCAGACGATCTCATTAGGGAATCCATGGAAAGGCAGCAACACCTTTATAAACAAATAGTGTGGCAAAAATCAAAACACATTTTGAAATGAAACCTTCATCAGCACTCTGATGGTCCAATTCTAAAAAAGATGCATCCAATAATTGAGTTAAGCTTAAGTAGTTGATGCATTTAATACATGGTGAGCTGGAAGCATGCACAGCCTTCCAAAATGAGAGCAGCCAACTAACACAATGAGTGAAGAAATGGAACAGTCCCTTCCGCATTGCTACGGCACTGTTGTTCAAAACATACACTTATCATGTTCTTCCTGCCATACCTACAATTACAGATTAGTAAGGCTTGCTAAAGTGGAGAAAATAGGGAATAGTATTTGGAATCATAAGAAGTAACTCTGCCTGATGCTTTACTCAAAGCAGCACTACGTTACTCAGTCCCTGTGCTGGGGGGGAAGCTGTGATCAGTGCTAGCAAGAAGCCACACCTGAACTGCTGTTTGTTCTCTGGATTTATGTCTTAAGATAAGGACTAAGAGAAAGATCTGGAGAGCTCAGCATAAGCACTGAGTGATTTGGATGCTCTGTTCGGTCTGGTTTGGCCCGGGAGGTTCTGGGATTTGTGGCTGCTGTGAGTGTCAGCCACCCAGAATCGGGCAGCACGAGCGGGCGTTGGCGCTCGTGTTGGGAAGCGGCTCCTCAAGAGCCTCAACTCGGGAAGCCGGGGAATTCCGCGTCGGAGATATGCGCAGGACTCCTGTGTCTGCCCGTCGTTGGGGCGTGCGGAGCCGCGAGGACGGCGGGGGGCGGAGGTGCCCGTCCTGGTCGAGGCAGAGCCTTGCGGCCCCGTACCGAGCGCCCAAGCGCTCCGGCGGGCGGTCACTAACCCCTCTCGATAACGTAAAGGACGCGGTATTGCATCAAGAGGTCAAAGTGGCAGAAGAGATGTAAATACCGCTTTATGAGGGGATACTGTATGCGCTTTACGCAACCCACGGCACGAACAAACAGGAGGCGGTGGCGGCTTTCAGTCTCTCGTGCCACTCCCACCCCTTCGAGAAGGGCCGGGGGAGGGCAGGGCCGGGTGCGGGGGGTTCCTCGCTCCGGCCGCTCTCGCATCCTCCCCTTGGGGACGGCGCGTCCGCGGGCGGAGGCTGAAAAGCCGTTCACGGTTCCGAGCATCCCGGCGGAGCGCCGCGCAACCGGGGAGCGGCGCCCACGGGGCGGTCCCGCGGCCCCTCCGCCTGCCACGTCGGCCCCACGCCGACCGCAGCCCCGCCGAGCCCCCCGGTGCCCCAATCAGCGGCGGCGGTGGCGGAGGAGTGCCCGGGGGCAGGGCCGGCGGCCGGGGAGCGCTGCCCCGCCCCGCCCCTCCCCGCCCGCGGCCCCCGCCTCACCTTCCGCAGCTCCTTCTCGATCTCGCCGGCTTTGTGGACGATGGGGCCCCGCACGGCGTATTCTACCGCCTTCACTTGCGGGTTCATGGATTCCAGCGTCAGGATCTTCTCCCTGCTCGCCTTCTCGTTGATCTTCACGGCGGAGGCCTCGGCAGCGCTGCTCCATCTCGCCGCCCCCTCCGGCGGCAGCCGGGTACCCCGCGTGGGCTGCCCCGCCGCGCCGCGCAGCGCCTCTTCCCCGGCGCCCCGGCAGCTCGCCGGCATCCGGCCCGCGGCGCGCCCAGCCGCCGACACGAAGCGGTGCATGGTCGGCACGGGCGCTCAGTCCGGCGAAATGACACCGCCGCCGAAGATCGGTGTGTCCCGCAGTCAAAGCCCGCGGCTGTCGGGATGCCCGCGAGCGAGAGACGCGCTCAGGAGCGATGCAGAGCAGCGGGCGCTGTTACATGCACACGCTCAATGCTCCCATGTCCAGATCCCGCAAACTTAATCGCGATCGGTACGAGCGATCTCGCAGCCGTGCGGTGCCGCGGGAGAAGCAATAAGTCCCACCATTGCATCAGGCGGCGGCGCCGTACAGCTCCCTTCCCTCCGGCAGCTCCCGCACTCAGTGCCCCACCACAGCCCCGCCTGCAGCCATCCTTAGCCGAGCCGAGCCGAGCCGAGCCGTGCCGTGCCGTGCCGTGCCGTGCCCGCCCGCGGCACGCCAAGGTGGGGATTGCAGCAGCAGGCTGGCGTCGCGCAGCCTGGCGGGTTTTGTAGTTCCAGCGGCCCTGGGCTGCGCCTGCCCACAGCATCAGGTGATGGGCAGGGAACTACCGCACCCACAGTGCCCCCGCCCGCCGCTCCGCATTGTCTGCCGCCGCGCACCGCGGCTGGGGATGCCGGGGGGAGCGGGAGGGGGCAGAGCCCGCGGGGGGATCGGCGCAGCCCCGGCTCCTTAGGCGGACCCCGCCGCCTTTGTCTGCGGCTGTTTTCCTGCTCGGTTCTGCGAGCCGCCCAGCGCGGCCCCCGCTGAGCCGCTCCCGTCGGTGCGGGGATGGAGCGGACGGGGGTTCGGGCCGGGGGCTGCGGGCGGGCACCTGTTGGGGAGTCTGCGGGATGCGGCCTCCCGGGGCGAGAGGGAGCCGGCGGCGCTCCCCTCCCTCCTTCCCTTCCTTCTTCCCTCTCGCCGCTCGCTGCGCTGCTGCGCTGCTGCGCTGCTCCGGTCCTCCCCTCCTGCAGGAATCATCCGCTGCTCTCACAGTGCCTTCATTGTTTCCAGATGATGGAAATGTTTTTATCTCTCGGGTTCAGTTCTGCTCTCAGAGCGGGCGGCTGGAGAGCTGCCATCAATACAGCAGCGGCACAATTCAGGGGGCGGGGAGGTAAATGCTCTCTTCTTGGCATCCGTGGGGAGGAGAAGGCCCGGCTCACCCCTCCTGGGTGCCCAGAAGAGGCTCCTTGTTTGTGCTCAGAGAGTGGAAAAAGGGACCATTCACTCAGGAATATTCCTATGACCTCATGTTACCTCCGCGAGGAAGAGCCTGGCCTGCAAACCGGGCTCATTTCTGATTTATTTCTGTAGAACCTTCTTTCTCTTCCTTTCTCTTTCTCCACTGACTTGGGAGAATGGAGGAAAACAGCTTCCTATTTTAGGTACCTAATTAGATGGTTCAGGACTCATGCTCTGTGCTGCATGGTTTGGTACACTCCTCTGGCAGATGAAGAAAAGGAAGCTGCTTTGGCAGTGTTTGGCTTTATTTTGTCCCATGGCACTCTATCTTGACTCTTTTCCTGTCTTCACTATTTCCTCTTTCTAATAGGCTTCTGCTTGCTGTAGCGTTTAGCTCCGTAAACATTTAGCTCTAATTCTTGTTCTATTTCTATTTACTCTGTGCTACTTTAAAGAAAATTAATTTGTTTTATTCAGGGATTTCATTTGTTATGATTTCGGTTGTACACGTTGTACCGAAAGCTTTTTGTTGTCTATTGCTCAGCTCGTGAAGGCGAAACAAAGGTCTGACCCTCTGTGTCCTCTCTCCAGTATTCAGTACCCAAAATGACCCAATGGAGCGCTGTCTGTCGGGAACTCAAGTTCTAGGAAGGACATTTTTGTTTATCTGCAGCTTCGGTGACTGTTTCAGCACACTGGAGTCTGCATCTCCTCCACACATTCATTTTCCACATTTTAAATCTTTAACTTTTGAACCATCACGTTTTGGAACCCATACATTTTGACAGTGCTCCTTTACGGTTGACATCAGTTGTGTATCTGGAATGCTGAGTGTTACCTGAATGTTGCTTTTGGACTGATAATTAACAAGCCATGTTGTGGTGCTTTGACACCAGGTTTGATAATGTACTTCAGAAGAAAAGTTTTCAAGCTGTAGTAAAACTTGTCAAGGTAAAAACAAACAAACACAAAAAACCCATAAGAACAGAATGCATTCTGTAGTAGGATCTAATCGGGTCACTTGAAGTGTTTGACTTATTTTGAATTTTGATATAAATTATTGGAAAACTGTTATTTCTATTCACTGTATATCCACAGGCTTGCTGGACACCCTAGTTTGAGTTCATCAGGGATCAGGGTCAAAATGCTGTCTGCCATATAAAAATCTAAGTCTGGTGGATTTGGAACCAGTAATTTTGTTAGTGGAAGTATAGAAGTCAACCTTTGCTCCTGGTATACACTGTTCCACCCCTAATCCGCCCCCCAGAAAGAGCTGGCAAAGCAGAAAGTTTCCAGTGCGCGCTGCTGCCGTATCTCTGATTGATCCCAAGGAGGACAAGGCACGGGCTGCTGCCCGGCGGCCCTGGCTCTGCCCCAGCTGTCGGTCCCAGCGGGACCTTCTTTGCAGATTCTGTAATGCTGCTTGTTAGCACAGCAGCCTTGGGAAAAGGCTAGCAGTCGTACAATGCATTTTGCACAAGTCAAAGCATATGCTTGTAATTAAGCAGTTGAATGAATATATACAGCCTTGAAATTCAATAGTTTGATTAATTTCCCAAGTGTAGAAACATACACAGTAGTAAAGAAATAGGATGAAAAAGCGCCTTCCGTGTTCAACATAATATGAGGTGTTGTTTGGGTTATGGAAGTGTGTATTTCTTTAATTATGATAAATGTATGTTATTTTAATATGGATACTTTCAGGAAGGTAATGGCACGTGATAAACTTGCAGTTTTGGAATAAAAGTTCATCATTAGAAGTAGGGTAGATTTAGACTAGATAGAGGGGAGATTTAGACAAGGATAGATTAAGGCCAGGTATTAGGACGAAATTCTTTACTGTGAGAGTGATAGAGACACTAGAACAGGTTACCCAGTGAGGCTGTGGATGCTCTCACCTGGAGGCATCCAAGGCCAGGCTGGACGGGGCTTTGAGCAGCCTGGTCTAGAGGGAGGTGTCCTGCCCATAACAGGTATTTGGAACTTATGATGATCTTAAAGGTCCTTTCTAACCCAAACCATTCTGTGATTCTATGATTCTATCTTCTTATCTTTTATGTTAACAGCAAAACTCACAGTGACTTCAGGAAAGGTGACCCTCAAGTTGGTATGACTGCGTTTGTACATGCCACTTTGACTTACTGAGGCTTAGCATTCCTACCCATGCAATGAGGAAAAGAAAGCTTAACTTGTGAGCAAAGGTACTGTGAAATTAGTTAATGAATGTTTGTAACACGGTTGTGCAATGACCTATTAAGGATGAAGTGTCTTCTTGTATTCGCTTATGGAAATCTTCCTTTCTCTCACCCCTTGCCCCTGGAGTTGAAGGGCAGATAGCAGGCATAGTCACAGGCTGCTGCTACACCCTGTGGAGGAGCCGGGGCTTTTGCACGTTGTCCTGAGATGGTTGATAGGCACAGTCATCGGGCAGCTTATGCAGCTGGTACAAACCATATGAATGCAAGTTTCATAAACTAGACAATGCAGGTGGCACATACTGCTTACCAAGTGTAGTTCTTTGATCCCCAATGGCACGTTCCATCCTTAGTTGTAAAGAAAGACCATGTTTGGTTTTCTCGCAGACATGAGAAGCTAAAGTGAATTTCACAATGCTATTGAGTACTTGGAGATATGGAACAACAGCAAATGTTTAAATACATGGAAAGCTAGATACAGAGTTGGAGAAAAGCCTTGATAAACAGACCAACAGCTGCTGTCACATGTTTTCATGATGACAGACCTTCAGCAAGCTGCTTATCACGAATGAGTGCATGGTTTAAACCACATGATTATAATAATGATGTGGTGGCTGTATGTTTGTTTTTCTTATGCTGTTTCATTTAAATAAATGCACTGGATAGAAAACTACTCTTAAAATGGCAAAGTGGTTAACTATATGTAAGGAATAATTAATATTTGAATGACATTTGATTTTGATGAGACATCAAGTAAACAAAAAACGTTGCAAAACTTATGTTTTTTTTAGGCAGAAAGACAAGCTGTTCTCGTGTTCTGTGTCGTACAAGTATGAGAATGAAGAGGACGTTTCCTCTGGAATACTGCTGATGGTGGTAGTTCAGAATATAATGAGCATCTTCAGAGAAATTACCGTTCTGAGTGTTCTACCAGCTGAACAGAAACCATCAAGATCTTGCCCAGAACTCTGTGCAGTCAGTGGAAAAAGTGCCAGTTCAGTGACTTTGTATCTTAATGTTTACTGCCTCTCATTCTCTTATGATAAGCAAAAATAAAGTCCAATCTCCAACCCAAAGAACAAACCCAAAAGGAAACATGAAACACTTTATAAAATTTTCTTTGTAATAATTGAAAAGGTACTCTATGAAAATATTGAAATTCTATTTTGAATAGGATGCTTTATATACAAAACATTTAAAATAAAACTGCTTGCATGATTTTGTTGAAACCAAACTGTTCTAAATAATGTGTGAACTGAGTAATTTCGCACACCTGTGATGGAAATTCATGAAACCATGACCTTGAGTCTGCTTCTGGGTTGGTTTTTTTTCCACCTTAACTGAGAAGGTTCAGATACACACAACACCAAAAACTATTTGAGTATTTCAGAGGGTCTTTAACAGCCAGGGACTATGAGCTAGAAATGTAAATGTTTCTTTTGAGTTCCAAAGGAAGCACAGTAAGAGTATGGACTTCTTGTGGATTTTGTGCTTGTCAAATTGGAGCTGCACACCAAAATACTGCAGTGTGTAAGAGCCCCGTATGGTAGGCATCCCAGTGAAGGAGAGAATCCTAAGGCCTCCCATAATTCAGATCAGCCAGACTGCATGTGGCAACCACATAGACAAGAAACCATCAAGGATGCAGAACTTCATGTGTAGCTTTTCATCAAATACATAAATGGCATAGCTTTATTATTTCCTCTTTTAAATTAGTGTAAAACATGTTCTAAGTGAGGCTCTGTCTTGCAAAGCACTACTGTTACTGACATAGAGGTTAGGCATCTGTACTCTTAAAAAAAATATTTGTTGCTTTTTCTCAGTGCTGTGTTAAATCTCTAAAGGGATACAAGAGTAGTTTTGACGTAGTAGTAATTTTTGACATTCAGAACTCAAAACTCTGGTGTTAATAAATTAGAATACCCAGAAAAATAGAATAGAATCACAGACCAGCACAGGTTGGAAAGGACTTTGGAAGATCATCAGGCCCAACCTTTAACAGATGTCTGTATGATGAATCTTAAAAATCAGTAGTCTAGCAGTGAGTGCTATCTTGCTTGTGTTCAATAAGGAAAGAATTTTTATTTTTGTTAAAGTATTTGAACAGCTGTTGCTGACTATTTTATGTGCTCTAAAAAGAAAGGGAGGATACTGTAATAGGACTGTGTTAGTTCTCTTGTATATTCATTAACTGCTTTCCTGGACGCTGTCACACACACTGCAGAGCCCCCTGCTGTTAAGGGCCATCCAAAATATTTTTGTATGTTTTGCTGTGCCTGAAACTTCTCAGTTAAAATGAAAAACAAAATCCTGAAATATTTTCCAGGTTCTCATTGCATGATTTAATCTCAATCCAGCAACAGATCTGGATGTTTTGCCTATATGAAACGCAACTGTGTTTTTGGCAACGGTCACGGTTTATAGAAAATATAAACTTGTCTTTGTGTATCTGTGGAGAAAGACCTCTGCTGGCAGCAGATCGATGTCGGCTGAAAGCAGTACACACAGCGAGAAGGTAAACAAAACTCACCCTGTGAGAGATCATTTAAATACTGACGAGAAAAGGAACATGGCAAGTTAGCCAATTCAGTTGCTCTGCACACAGCAGAAGCCATAACACAGGGATGGATGCTCACAAGTGCAGAATATCTTCTCACACTCTGTGTGGGAGCTGGACTTGAAGCATCAAATGGCTGTGGAGTCCATAGGCATGAATGCTAAGAATGAGAGAAAGAGTGGGAGAACAGAGAGGCCACAGAGCGCCGACATGAGCTGTTAGGAATGAGACTCAAGGAGGAGGGGTGGAAACAAATCAATAGGTCGTACTGTTCTAGGAAAGCATTCTGCACGTGACAAAATGTTTGGCTATTTATTCATCATACAATAATTGTTAGTAAGGATGGAGTGGCATGGCAAACTGAGAATCTTTAGGGGACTTTCTAGGGCATAAATGTCATTTAATTCTGGGAAATGACGTAGCAGAAGTCCAGCACTTTTCCTATTGTTTAGATCGTGACAGATTGTGACAGTGGCAATGTTACTGTAGTAGCACACTGCTGTCTGAGAACACCTACTGTGGTAGGTGTCTGCAGGAAGAGGAATGTGCATATGAGATTCCAATAAGGATTGTATGTATGCAGGAAGGAGACACTGGGCTGAGAATTGGGAAAACTAGATTGAACAAAACTGTACACTGTATATCTTACATTTATCTATGAGAGATAAAGTTAATACTTAGATATGTTCATTGTGATTTAAAATGCAGCATGTAGAAAACTACCCTGAGCATATTTGTGTAGAGATGATAATCAGAGTTCAGCCATTAGTGTTGAACTACTTTTAATATTTAGGACTTTAAAACTCTTCTAGATACATTTTTACCATATGCACTATGTATTATGAATGGATTTTTGTTTGCCTGCAATTCATAGCACTCATCCATTCCAGCACTGCTTTCATAACATGAAGCGAGCATTACACCTGAAGTCTAACTGCTCTTTGATGCTGTGGTGTAAATCCTGGTTGCAGAACAGTTTAACAAGCGTCTTCTCTCTTTTACTTTATGTGAGTAGTTTAAATTCAAAACACTCAAATTATGTTATTGTCTTTAAAATAAAATACAATGCAGTTGAGACCTGTTAGATCTGCCAGCATTTGTTTTATCAACCAAAGTAAAAAAAATCTTCTGTGCTGCAACAATGTGAAAGCTTCTGCTGGAACCAAATGTGGCACGTAGGACTTCTGGTGGAAAACAAGTAGAAAACCACGTATCAAACAGAGCCTTCTGGTGATTTAAAACTTGTAGCAGTTCTACAGGTAATCAATTCTTTTAAGAAGAATGCAAAACAACAACAAAGAAACAGTACAGTTGGTCTATTACTGGAGTATATATTTTTAGTGTCTTTATTTCATTTACATATATGAATGAATATATAAAGATCTATTTATATAAAAATGTGAAATCCAATACAGTAAGTACAGTATGTTGTACAAATATGGATCATAATCTAATGCATTTAGGTGGCTCGTGGTGGCTTCGTGGAGTCCCTTTCCAACGCAAGGTCTGCCCCTCTCCAGTAGGATGTTTTGAGATGGCTTTTCCTTCTTCAGAGCGGTTGCTAAAGAAAGGGTGTAGGAGTATGGAAAAAGTGGGAAAGTGGACCTTAAACAGTTTACTGGTGATTTTAACCCTCCATTTTCCTTGTTTTGCATGTGAAAAACAGCATAGGACCAGAGCTGTATTGCTGTTTTGGCTAGGAGCTCTCTTTGGGGAGCTGCCCTGATAATTACAGAGATAAACTGTCAACAACAAAAGTGGGTAAATGATTGTAAGTGACTGTGCTTGGACCTGGAACTGCAACCTTCCTCTTCAAACGGCTGACTGAGACATCTCTACTCCTTGGGTCATGGTTAGCATGAAATTAAAAATGAAATTAAAAATTTAAATAAGAATTTTTTTTTACCCTGAAATTGTTACCTGTGAACTTTGTCATATGAGAAGGTTAATTGTCAGGATTACTGAAAGGAATCACATTTCCAATGCTTAAGGTGGGAATGCACCTCCTTACTGTTATGATGTTATGTAAATTCCCTATGTTATCTCCTAAATATTCTGATTTTCCTTAGTATAGATAGATAAAATTGGTTTCTCTGTGCTGATTAGAGGACATTTCATTTTTTACTGTGTTTATGTTACACACAGCAATAATGTTGCTTAGAAACCTGTAATAAAAGCACATTGCTGATGTAGAGTATGTGTGGGCTTTTATGAATCTGGAACTCCATTTTCTGGTTTCACAGAACCATAAAGCAGCGTCAACAGCTGAGCTGAATAAATCAAGCAAGAGTGAGGCTCCAGACAACATCGCTTGGCAACTGGGAGACCATTATCTGGTCTGTAGGGTTGATCAGCAAACCGTGGGAAGGGTAGAGCATTCACCAAGGCCTTCAGCTGTAGCTTTACTCTGTGAGGAGTTAGGAGGAATGCTGGTCTTCTGCCTGAAGGAAGAGGTATTTTTTCATTTCACAAGCAGGGCAAAGTGATTTGGGCTGTGCTGGCTGATGAATAAATACTCTCTCTGTGGATTCCTGTTTACCAAGAGCTGACCAAATGCCTCAAAATAACTCAGTGATGAGGTAGTAGACAGCAATAAAATTAACCTTTAAAAAGCATTCTCTGAACTGCAGTTAGGTGAATTTCCTTAAAAGAAAAATGCAGAGCGAAGCCTGATTAAGAACACCTCTCCTCCAGTGTTTTTCCTCTGTGCGGAGGTGCAAAAGCCGAGTCCAACTCAAAGCAACCAAATCAGATTCTGTTACAGCGGGCCCAGTGCCAGCCTCGCAGATGCTCCCATTGCTGCCCTGCGGAAGTGTCACAGGCCCAGTGCAGGTCTTTAATATTTGTTGGCAGCTACACTCAGGGCTGTTTTAAAGAGAGATCTTCAAAAAAAGAATTTGCTGTCAAGGCTTCCGTGCATTTTTCTCCTGTAGACATCTTGTAGTAAATGAACAAGTATAATTAAAAAAAGAGAAAGCCAAACTCTTAATAGAGGCACTGTCATTCTCACTTTCCTCTTTAAGATGCAAGTCTTGCACACAAATACAAAACATTCACACACTGTTGCACAGCTTTAACTTTTTGCAGTGGAAGTATTTCAAACTGCTATTTTTCTTTTAAAATGTGTAAGAAATGTAAAAGCGCAGCTAGGTTAGGTTACGCTATTAATAATTGCGGGCGGGAGTGACAGAAGATCCACGCTCCTGTAAGGACGCACCACTGCGAGCACGGCGAGCCTCACAGGCGCGAGCGAACAGCTGAGGCGGGAGGCCGCAGCGCCGAGCCCCGCTGCCGGTGGGCGGCTCTGGAGATCGGCTCTCGCGCCCGTTGCTGAGCTCCCGAGCAGCCGCTCCTGCCCTCCACAGCCGAGCCGCGCCGATCCGCGGCCGTTAAGCGGACCCGCGCCCCCATGTGCACACAGCCAATCCGGGGGTGCGGACGGCTCCTCGCGCACGCGCCCCGCCTCGGTTGCCGCCGGGTGGGCCGGGCTTCAACGGCGGCGTCGGGGAGGTGGAGCGGCTCCTTTGTGGGCGCCGGGCCGGGCCAGGCCCCGCGGAGGCCGCGCTCGCTGCCGTTGGTGCGCGCTCCCGGCCGGCGCCGCGCCCCCGCCTTTCTCTCCTCCCGCCCTCCTCGGCCGCCGAGGGGCGGGGCGGCGGCGCTCCGGCGGCAGCAGCAGAGCAGCATCAGTAGCGAGCATGTCGTCGAGCAGGGCCAAGAAAGTGAAGATGGCCACCAAGTCGTGCCCGGAGTGCGACCAGCAGGTGAGGCGGGGCGTGGCGCGGCGCGGGAGCCGCCCTGTCCCGTCCCGTCCCGTCCTGTCAGCCGTCCCACGCCTGGCGCCCGGCTGCTTTGCCCTCAGTGCCCGTGTACTCGGCGCTCGCCGCCCGGCTCGCCGCCCGGCTGGCACGGCAGCCCTGCCGCTGGGGCTGTGGCTGAGAGCGGGGCGAGCCGCGGGTGTGCGGGGCTTCGATGCCGCTTCGGTGCCCCCGGCCCCGCGCCTCGGCGTGCAGCGCGGCCGCTGCCCGTGCAGGGGCTTCCCGCTGAGCCCCGCCGCTCTTCCTGTTTTCTGTCAGCTCCTCTCGCCTGTGGCTGTCTCTCGATGTACGTGCTGTAGAATACGCGTTTGTGACGGTAACGCCAGAAGCTGCTGGCTGAGCTGCTTGGTTTTCAGAAAGGAGGAAGATCTGCACCGTTTATAGAAGCGTTTGTATGAAGCACGGAGTTGTTGCCTTTGCAGTCGCCGGTTGTGTGTGCCCTGCTTCTCTCGCTGTGATAGTTAGCTTATGCCAAAGGATTCTGTGACATGCAGCGTTGCTTAGGCATTGGTATTGTTTAGTAACGACAAAATACGTTAAAATACAATTAACTTTGTAATTTATACAGTGCAGCCCGTCCCCAGCATGACTCGCGTGCCTGGGACCGGTCAGGATCGCTCACTGTGCTGCTTTCTCATGGAGCAGTTTAGAAGGAGCAAAACTGGGAGCTTTGCTGTAATTCCTCCCGTGTGGTCCCAACGTGTGTGCAGTGTTGTTTGCTCCCACTGCAGTTGTGCTCAGCATACAAAGTGCAATTATTGTGCTTCAGCGTGAGCAGCAGTTGGGCTGTTGGCATATTATATGTTTGCCTTCACGTCCACTTCCTACTGGTGATGATGTTACTCATAAAAGCAGGCCGGCTCATTTCAGCCGTGCTGGAACAATAGCACAGCGCTGCAGAAGGCTGCCGTGGGGCTCGGGTAGGGGAGAAGGCTTTCCCATGTAATTATGGGAAACACATTTCTGTTTGATCCTGGAACATGACCGGTATCCCATTTTCAGTTAAAACCTAAAACAAAAAGCTCTTACACTGCTTGCTGAACAAATTCTAAAAAAATCACTTGTTCTGACTTGCATGGTTTCTGTAATGTTCTTTTGCATCCCGGAGCAGCTGCAGGCGTTACGCTGCGTGGGGCACCCTTTCATGTTTTAAGCAATGCATGAACCACTGCAGCTGCTCACATGTTGAGTACGTCACTGCAGTGCTGTTTCTGAGAAAAGGAAGCTATGTGCCAAGTTCTGATATTAGGTCGGTGAAAGAAGAAATGGAAATGAGTGAGAAGCTGAGTATGAGATAGGTGTTTTTTGTTTCGTTCATTTAATTTAATGTAAATGACAAACTACAAATACTAGGAAGGGCAAATAATATTACAGACTTTTAAAGCTGATGCTGGAACTTTGTTCCGCTCCTTGGAACTAAACCAGATGATGTGCATGTGAGCACAGACATGTTATTAACAGGTCTTCCATGGCTGGCAAGGAATTATGTGCGTCTTGGTCTGGCACAAGAATTACTCATCAGGCCTTGCTTTCCAAGACCAGAAGCTAAAACCTTGCCTCACAATGCCTGGATCTTTAAAGCTTCTCTTGGAAGTGAGGTGCTTTGCCCCAGCGCAGCTCTGCATGGTGGGAAGGCCCTTGGTGGCCATGTCTTGTACCAGCATTTCTTGCATATACAAGGGCTTTTTGTGTTACAAGTGATATATGGGGAAACACTTAGACAGCCACAGATATTACAGTATAATGCTGAGTAATATTTCTTAGGCTTTTAAACTTTTTTTTTTTTTTCCTGACATTTAGATGATATGTAATTGCCATTTAGTATCTTTGGTTTTTATTGTGTTGCTGTTTCTGTTACAGAGTTTTGATTGTATTTTCACAGCCCCAGTAAACGAGGGAGCCTGAAATCCTTGTGGTCATTTATTGGAAATAATTAACCTTAATTTACCTTTGAGTGATCTTTCTTGTATGAGAAACTCAATTTGTTTTGGTTAGAAAAACATTGAACAGACTCAAATAGCATTTGCAGGACTGTGCTGCCTCAATGATTGGTGGGGGATGGTTTGTGTAGTAAGTAATTTTCAGAGGATAATTGAGAGCCTTGGGTGAATAAGCCCCTTCCCACGTGCTCCTGTCCCAAACATTAGTCCCACCTACATGCCTAACCTGTAACAATATTGCTCTGTCAAACACTATGAAGTTAATTGGGAAAAAAAAACCAGTGTTTCCTCTAGTTCCTATTGGTTGTCCTCCAGCAGTGGTGATTTATTTATTTATAATTTTGGCAGCGCCAAGGGATGTAATTATTGGAGTGATCCAGGTGTTCAAATGTGGGTTCATAATGTAAACAAACCTGAACAATGCAGATGAAGTGTCAGCTGAGTAGTGTTTCTATACTCTCCTCTTGAGATGTGAACAGTGGGATAAGAGCGCACATAAGCCTGCTAACTTTGATTTTAGGGTTAAGTAAAGCCTGATTAGATTGTTTTTAATGTCAGTGTTCCCATTAAAGGGAGTAACCATGTCTGTAGTTAGCTGGGCTGCATCAACTCACTCAGTCACTCATCCTGAGATGATGTTCAGGAGTTGAGATGTGCTGAAGGAAGCAGAATGCTTATTTATTCTGAGTAACAAGTTCCTCTTTAAAATTAATGTACTGCTTTCATATTTGTGTCTTAGCCAGTTGAATACTGCAAACCTTCATATGCGTGTCTGGTAAAATTCAGCAGACGGTGGTCAGTCTGTACTCCTTGCAGTTTCAGTGAATGCTGGCAAACTTGTAGAGGCCTGTCTTAACTTGGGAAGTTACCTCCTGCTTCTTTTCCCCACTCTCCTGCTTCAACGTGGTTTGTTTTTAATGGTGTTATTTAAGTCTATTCCAAATTTTTTTTTATGATTGCTTTAATTTGCGTTTTCAGCCTTAAACCTAATCAAGGTTAGATGGGGTATTCTGTACTATTTTAAAACGTCTTGAAAGACCTTGGCTTTAGGTGAAGATGACAAATGATGTCGTTTATCAGCATTGCCTTTTTAAATTGTTCAGAGTAAATTTTGGTCATATTTCTTGTAAGCACAGCATTTCCAAATTCTTGCACCTTGGTTCAAATTGCCTGTGGCAGTGTGCTGCTCTGGGCTGCTCTGCTGGCTGAGGGAAGCTCTGTGGCCTCTCAGGCTCTGTCTGCAGCCAGCTTTGGGTGAGCTGTGGCAAGTTATGTGTGTTTTGGGTTAACTGGTCCTTCTGAAGCTCCCCGGCCTTGTCTACAGCCCTGTGGAAGTGTGGTAGGAACGCATGTGTTTCACTTCAGGCTCTGTTGTGCCTCTCATGCTAAGCTGCTGTGCTGATGAAGGATTTGGTTTTGATTGTTTCTGAGGGTGAATGTGTTCTAAATGCACTGATGATTTTAACTTATGCTTTCTTTCCCCTTCCCCCCCTCCCCGTATTTTGTTTTTGTTTAATAAGTGAGGGAAGGAATGCTGGGAGTGGCTTACTGCTATGGCTGGGGATAATTGTGAGCTCCAAAAGAAAACGTGCTTCTATTCTAATTCATCCCTGGTTTGATGCCCTCACTTTTCCTCACCCCTTCCTGCCAGCGTGGGCAAAAGGGCTCATTGTACAACACATGGCAGTGTTGTGTTCTGTGCTTGTTTTCTGCATGACAACTGCAAGAAGAGAAGGCTTTAGTGGGTGATTAACAGCAGAACCTGGTTTGACTACTTTCAAATATAATATGTGATGGTCTAGACTGTAGTTTTTCAGTAAAAACTAAATATGAAGAGGTAGCTCTGTGGGGATGGAATGCAAGATACTGTTGTGTGGGGTTTTTTTTCATCATATATAGGAATTTGGTCATAATTCAAGATGTTCTGAAATACTTTTCTTTTGCTTTCTCAGGTTCCTGTTGCATGTAAATCGTGTCCCTGTGGCTACATATTTATTAGTCGAAAACTCCTGCATGCTAAACGTGCAGAGAGATCGCCACCCATTACAGGTAATACTTACAAAGATATGGAAGAATGTGATAATAGCTCTTCTGCTTTATTTCTTGGAAGCAAAGAGCAGTGTTTTGTGCCTCTATGCAAACTGGCTGCTGTCAGTTCACTTTCCTTTGAATTTGTGCACAGTAATCTTAATGTAGTAGTTTTTCTTCAGTTTTATTGGGGAAAATGTGGTGGTTTTGGTTTTACATCCTTTATACTTGCAGTATTGGCATTTATTCTGTGTACACTTAGCTGCTCACATTAGTCACTATGCAAAACAATCCCTTACAGAAAGCTTTCTGTTAATGTTTTGAAAATAAACGTCTGCATACGTCAAAGGGATCCGATTTCAGAGTGCATGCTGATTGAAGCTGGGTTTTCTGAAAGTAACTGTTTTTTCTTTAAATTACACTGAGTTTTGCTTACTCACGAGCACTAGAATGGCACTGCATAAATGTGGTGACATGTCTAATTTAAAACCAGGTACATCCTGCTTCTTTCTGCATGGTTAAATCTTAAAAGTCCATTTTGTGTCCAATCCAATTTCTTTTGTTTTTGAAGTGCATGCTGAAACATTGGTTGAGTATGCATTCTATCATGATTAACATTCTCCTTGTGTCCAGTTTTTATCACTTCCTCGAGTCCTAGTAGGGATTAGTGAGATCAAGCACCTGTTGAGGAATTTTGTTTTTAATTTTGATGTATGCTTTTTTTTCTAAATTATCAAGAAGTCTACAAAACTGAACCTAAGAACTTGGTATTTTTGTATTGATATTCTGAAGGGCCCTTGTAGTTCAAAAGCTAGTAGGAATTATATGATTATATGCTAGATTACAGTATGGAACAGGTAATGCAATCTGTGCTATTGTCTGGAAGGGCTGATGATTTTTCTCTCCCGCTCCCCAGTTGTTTTAAATACAAGTTACCAAATTAAGTTGATGGCCATAGTTTGATAGAGCAAAGCTCCTGCATAATTCAGCTTTGTATGTGTGAAATACAGCTTTTGAATTAAGATCAATGACAGGTTAATGTGCTGTCCAGTCTGTAAGTAGCCTGTCTATGTAAATGAGGTGGTAGAATCAGAAGGAAGTTGATTCCCCAGGAAGATTTTGCTCGTAAATGGAACTGCAACTTTTTTTACCATGTAGTTACTGCAAAATGGAGCTGCAGCCTTGCAAATGTTCAACCGGTTTGCATTGAATAGCTTGTGGTGGTTGCGTACTATTTTCACTACTCAAGCTCACTAATCTGTACTTAACTTTTCAGTGAAACTCATGTAAATGCCCTTTGATGTGTAGGAAGGTGATACACCTGTTCAGCATCAACTGAAATGAGACTTGGTCTTAGGCTGAGGTTGGTGGGGGAGTGATGGTGCGGGTTTGGTGGCTGAGTAATGACATCTAATGATAGCATCCTTGAATCAGTATCTCTTGTCTGAGCAGTGGGAACAATTTCAGTATTTGTATCAGAAGTACTTTACTATAGGTCAGCTATGTGATAAATCATACATTTTTAACTTATTCTTCAATAATGAAAATGTGTGTAGTGTCTTGATGGCTGTGTTCTGGAGAGTTTTTTCCCCATATCTTGTAATGGGAAGCTAAGAACTGGTGTTCTAGTGAATGTCATATGTTACCAAATGTCATTTATATTTGAATGAATTAAAAGCTCAATCCATGTAATCAAGAAGTATAGTGTAATTTTGCATCTGACACCTTAATTTCTGCATGAATGTCATGAATTAGACCTGTGACTGTTGTGAAGAGAAGTAAAGGAAAAAAAGTTGGATGGGTGAGTGCTGAGAGTAAGTTATGAGCAAAGATGAGGACTATTGCAGATCACATCATCTCTATTCATTTGCACAGAAAACAAGAGTGAGGCCAAGAGGAGACGGACAGAGAGAGTTAAGCGAGAGAAGATAAATTCTGCGGTAAATAAAGACTTAGAAAACCGAAAGAGGTCGAGGTCTAACAGCCATTCAGATCATAGCAGACGAGGAAGAGGAAGACCTAAGAGTGCCTCAGCCAAAAAGCACGAGGAAGAAAGAGGTATGAGAACTGGAGAAGTATTCACTGCGTTCTGTTTCTGTTAAGATTTTTTTTACCATTACTATCAATAAACTTCTATAGCATTCTTTAGAGTGACTGGGCTAGGTCGGTCAGTACCACATGTAATATGGGGAAGGGAATTTGGTTGTATGAAGTTTTGGTGCTTGATTGGAAGGAATTCCTAGTAATTAAATCAGTATTTTTTAGTCACCATACCCAGTTTTATCATGTAGATTGAAAGCCTGTAGATTGAAAGAACTGTAATGTGTAGTGTTTTTTTGTTTTTTTGTGATCCACTATTCTAGATCACGAGAACAAACAAGATGGTCGCTGTTGTCAGAGTGATTAGGATGACAACATTGCTTAAAAACAAAACAAAACAAAACAAAACTTGAGACTCTTTAGGGAGCCCAAAGCAGAAAGGGCATGTTGAAGTCATTGCAGTGACTTGATTCCAGGTTTTTACATAATATCTCCCAGGAAAGAATGCCTCCTTACTTATTAAGATGCCCACTGTTTTTAATCTTTATACAAGAGACTTCTACGTGCACTGGAGTGATTCTGGAGTCCTCCAAGCACGTGGCTATCACTTAAGACTTCCATCTTTGAACCTGTTGGTATTACATTTGCTATTGTTGCTTGTGGCTTGCTGATGTCTGCACCCTCACAGAATTTGAAGCTTCCCTGTTTATTATTGATCTGAACTGAACTCTGTCTACGTGCACTGTAGGATCATTTCTAGACACTCTTCTGAGAGTCTAATTCATGCACAGCTTTGGTTTGAAAATTCTGCAAGCTTTTTGAGTTGCCTTCTGAGAGTAAGTTGTTTTTTTCATATCCCATGAAACATAGGAAAGCAATCTAAGCAATCAAAAGAGGAAATCCATTCTGCATGCATGTTTTGTAGTGTCTTAAAAGCAATAATTTGAAAGCATGAGGAATATCTAGAAAACTAGGCCAAATATTTTTGACCTCTTGCTGCATACTGTGGAGTGTGTGAGAATATACCAGTGCTCTGAGATGGAAAATGAGAAATATAGATGTAGTGAGGCCTTTATGTAAGAATGCAGATGCATGCATGTGTGGGGTTTTTGTTGTTATTGTCACGTGTCACTTAAGATTGCCTTCATCTACTTGATCTTTAATGGAGCTGTGACTACTGTACCAGCTCTGCAGAAGAGGTCAAAGAAGAAACAGCAGCAGAGCTTGAGTCTGTGCCTCCTTGAAATACATTAGCTCATCCCTAGTACAACACACTTAGTTGGCTAGGAATAAGTGGGCGTATGATCTTTCCTACTTCTGGTTAACGTACAAGTGAAAAAAAATAGTCAATGATCAGCTGCAATGTCTATAAAAATGAATTTGGCAGAGCACTCCTCATAATATAAGAGATTTCTCTAAAACAAATTAACACTGAAATTTCCATTTTTGTGGTTTATAAAATTGGCTGAACTGTTATGTGGGGAGTAATTAGTGGAAATATAAAAAATATTCTTTCTTTTCTGGTCTTGCTGCTTGATGGTGTTTTTTTATGTGGAAGCATACTAAGCAACTGTAATTCTTCTGCTCCAGATGAGGTGATTTTTGTGTGACCTGCTCAACTATCAGCGCACTGAGAGCGTTTGATGTCAGGTTGGGTAGGACTTCGAGCAGTGCTAACCTTGTGAAAGATGTCCCTGCCTATGGCAAGAGGGATTGCACAGATAACCTTTGAGAGTCCCCTGCAGCCCAAATCATTATTTGATTCTTTGGAAGCTGGCTCTGGGTTATCTTGAATTAGATATTAAGTACTTTATTTCCTTTGATTATATATTGGTGGGACATTTTGGGTACGGCTTGATTGCCACCAGTGATTGTGTTCCTTTTCTCTTTTTTTCTGCCAAAAAAAAAACCTAAAGAAATAAAAAAAAAAAAAAAAAAAAAAAAGTCAAAACTGGAAAAAAAAGCCACTGCTTGTAAGTTTGTAGGTACTTGGTTAGGCTTCTGCATTACCTTTCGGGTGGACAAAGAACACCTAAATTAGAATAGCAGGCAGATATTTTGTCTGTCTGAAGACCACCCAGCTGTGAAAATTTCCTTCCTGAAGACATCTGTAGCTTTGCTTCTGTGATTGCTTAATACTCTTTTAATATGTAGTATGCTTTCCCCCTGTTATGTCTGCGCTTTCGGCCAGTTCTTTTGTTTCCTTCCTGACTGGTTCACATTAGAGCTGCAGAATTAAGCATCAATTAAGAGGAATGGGGGATTCAAAAGGGCTTTTTAAAATAATCTCTTTTTCCTCTAGATTCAGTAAGAAGGAGTTGGGGAGGGGAAGAGAGGAAGATGACATAGAATGAGAGGATGTGGTAGAGGGCTGGGACCCAAAGGAGATGCTTCTGTCATGTTTCAAAGTGATGTGATAACCCTGGGAAATAAGAACTCCTCAATAAAAGCTTGATTTTTGTCAGGATTGTCAGTGTTTGTTTTTTTTTTTTTTTTTTGGTCAAGATCTGCAATATATTTTGTAAACAAAAACACTTCATAATAATCTGCTATTGATTTTGCTGCTGTTGTGGCATAAGCTGATTTTGCTATGTGGGGCTGCAGTGCAGAGCTGGGCTGGTTCGCAGGCCGCCTTCTTATGTACATAACAGCTTTGCTGTTTACCAGCTGTGAGTCTTATTACAGATATTTATGTTTCAGTACCCTGATACTGTTTCAGCTGAAGTAGTAAAATAGCTTGAACAAAGTTTTCCCTTCCCTGCAATTTGTTATTCTGTCATTTGTGCGTTTGATTACTCAGGGTGCACGGTTGAAGTAGTGCTGTCTCGGATAGAAAGAATTCTTAGAGTCTCAGCACTTTGGATTTTGAATCCATGCAAAATTTATGAGGGAGCAGAGTCCACGTTTGATTTATGCACAGGGGACAATTTAAAGGTCCATGGGTCCAGAACATTGCATAAGATCTAGGAATGATTCTAGAAAGACTGAGTATTTTCACCTAAGTATCCTCTTTGTTGTACGGAAAGGACTTGATATTTTTAATGTATTACATAAATGGTATTGTGATTTTGTAAGACAGTCTTTTGCTAATAATAGAGAAGTGAGTCAAAACTACTTTCAGATAGGAATGTGAAGTGGAAAGTTTTGATGCTGTCTGTAGAAACCATGGTATCCTATGAATAGCTTATAACAAAATGTCAGCCAGATGCAAGTTCTTCTCTAGTTGCTGATGAAAAATGAAATGATCTTGATGCATAAAGCTTACAAACTCGTGTTAATCCCCAATACCATTTGATATAAAGATTTCAGTGGATTCTTTGAAGTGGAAGTTTCTCGAGACTGGCTTGCACACCAGAAGGGGCAGGAAGGAAGGGAAATCTTGGGAAATCTGCTTGGCCAAGTCGTCTGAAATCTATTAACATTAAATGGGGCGAGGGGGGATGTTTTTAATTTTTCTGTGTTCTGACATTCTGGGTTTGTTGGGATGAGGAAGTCTGGGGGAAAAAAAGAAAAAGGAGAGGCCTTTAGATAAGAAAACGGGAAAGGTTAATATGAAATGAGTAGTGTGTGCATAGTGACTGTACTGAGAACAACTCATTTTTATATTTATAAATATATATATATTAAAAATATATAAAATATATATATTTATATATATATATAATATTTTTATATATAATATATTTTTTATATATTAACATTGTTAATATATCTGGATCAGAGATGAACAGCTGTTAGCTTGTTGATTAAGCCACCATTATTTTCTTGTATTTCTTCTTGTATTGCATTTTTTTGTATTTCTTGTATCCATCACTGGTTTAGGTGTGTAGGTGAAGCAGTATGCTGGAGTGTGCTGTGGTCAAGAGTGTGTGTCTGTATGTTAATGAGATAAGGGATCAGGTGAACATGTATTCTGATTGTAAATTAGTCTGGGGCACTGTCGAATGTGGAGTAGAATTGGAGCTTCAGAGTTGAAAACTGCAGTCAAAGATCAGGTTTGTAACTGCAAAAATGTCTAAATGCCTAAATGTCCACAAGTCTGTGAGTCCTGCTGAGATATATTCCCAGAATCCCAAAGGAATTGGCTGACATAGTTACTAAGCCATGCTCAATGATGTTTGCAAAATCATGGTGGTCAAGTGAGGGCTCTGGAAAAAAGGCAGCGTCACATCCAATTTTAAGAAGGGTAGAAAGGATGACCCAGGGAGCTACCGACCTGTCAGCTTCACCTCAGTGCTGGGGAACATCATGGAGCAGATCCTCCTGGAAGCTATGCTAAGGCATATGGAAGAAAAGGAGGTGATGTGGGATGACTAGCATGGCTTAATCAAGGGCAGGTACTGCCTTACCAAGCTTTCTGCTTTTTATGCATTAGGAGACAAGGAAAGAACTAATGATGTAATCTGTCTGGACTTTAGTAAGGCCTTTGGCACAGTCTCATACAAGATCCTTCTCTCCAAATTGATAAGATATGGATTTGATGGGTGGACTGTTTAATGGATGAGGAACTGGCTGTGAGATCATACCAGAGAGTGGTAGTCAATGGCTGAATGTCTGAGTGGAATCAATGACAAATGCTATCCCTCAGGAGTCAGTACTTGGGCTGGTGCTGTCTAACATCTTCATCAACGACGTCGACAATGGGATCGAGTGCACCCTCAGCAGATTTGCAAATGACACCAAGCTGTGTGGTGAAGTTGATGTGCCTGAGGGATGGGATGCCATCCACAGGGACCTAGATGGGCTCGAGCTGCGGGCCCAAGAAAACCTCATGAGGTTCAACAAAGCCAAAAGCAAGGACTCACGCCTGGGTTGGGGCAACCCGTGCTATCAGTAAAAGCTGGGGAATATAAGGATACAGTACTGCCCTTCTGAAAAGGACTTGGGGGTACTGGTGGATGGCAAGCCAAACATAAGCCAACAATGTGCATAGAAAGTCAACTGTATCCTGGGCTGCATCAAAAGAAGTGTGGCTAGCAGGTCAAGGGAGGTGATCCTGCCCCTCTGCTCTGTACTGATGAGACCTGATGTGGAGCACTATCTCTGTATTTGGAGTCCTCAGTATAGGAGAGGTGTAGACTTGTTGGAGTGCATCCAGAGGAGTGCCACAAAAACGATCCAGGGGATGGAACACCTTACTGTTGGGATAGGCTGAGAGTTGGGGCTGTTCAGCCTTGAGATGAGAAGGCTCCGGGGCATCTGATGGCAGCCTTTCATTGTCTAAAGAGGAGCTATAAGAAAGAAGAAGACAGACTCTTTAGCAGGGTCTGCTGTGACAAGACAAGGGGAAATGGTTTCAAACTAAAAGAAGGAAGACTTAGATTGGCAGTAAGGAAGAACTTTTTTATAATAAAGGTGGTGAGGTGCTGGCACAGGTTGCCCAGAGAGGTGGTGGAGCCTCATCCATGGAGACACCCAAAGTCAGGCTGGATGGAGCTCTGAACATCAAGCTGTAGAACTACGTGGCCTTTAAAGATCCTTTTGAACTCAAATGATTCTATGATACTGTAAAAACAATCTTTAGAGCTCTATTTTGTGTGTATTGCTCTCTTCTGGCTGGTCTTATGCTGACAAAACTTTTTTTATTGTTTTCTTTTGCTTTCTCTAGTTGTAAGATACCTGTGGCTAGCTAAACTTAAGTATAAATAGGCATGATCTAGAATAAGTGGTATTTTTGAAAGCAGTGTTCTGAGTTTTGGTGTGTGCTACGGAGTAAGTTAGTTAAGCAAGCACCCTTGCTTACTGTTATGTATCTGCATCCCTGAAACAAGACAGTGTTTTCAGAGAAAACTGAGGGGCTTTCCCTTGCTTACTCAGGTTTTAGTGTTGTTCCATATCTGGGATAAAATTGAAAGTCTCTAATACAGAAAGTTCAGAAATGATTGTGGTAGCAAATTGGGATCCTTGTGCTGTTTGGACTTGGGCACTGTAGTTCATGTCTTCGTTACTCAGATGTAAAATGAGGGTACAAATGTTGTAGTTAATGAGGATATTGTGAAATGTCATTGTTTTTTAGGATGGGGGCTGTTTTTGTAAAAGCAAAACAAACAGAGCAAAACAACCCAACCAACAAAATCACCACCAGGAAACCAAACCCCAGTAAACCTGGAGGAACACTTGAGTTCAGTTTTGTGCCAGGAATCCATCTAATGTTAGTGACTCATTCTTCCTTAGTCATTAAAGAATAGAAATTCAGTCATGCTTTTGGGTGACTAATTCTGTGACTGCTAGCACCTTTGTGTGCCTCCCTCCCTTCCTTATCTCTCAGTCCCTCCCCAAGCAGGAGTTGTCAAACTTCTTTGTAATTCCTGTAGGCATTATAATATTGTAAGTTACATAGTAGTTAATTTAACTTCAGATAATGGAAAAAACTTCTAATAGTGACTTTTTTTTTCTTCTACAGAGAAACAAGAAAAAGAAGTTGACATGTATGCTAACCTTTCAGATGAAAAGGCCTTCGTATTTTCAGTGGCCTTGGCGGAAATAAACAGAAAAATTATCAATCAAAGACTTATTCTGTAACTTGTAAGCACAATCTGATGCATTTATGTACGGAATGACTAGCATATTTCCAAGGTGTCATGGACTCTCGGAAAGCGTGTTGTCTGCGCCAATAAGGACCGTAGTATTTCCTGTTAAAATTCTGCTGCTGTTTTTGGAAATCACATTCTGTCTCTGCAAGTGAGAAAGGAAGTGTTCTCAAGATTGTGCTATGGAAATCAGAAAGCAGAAGTGTTTTATGCCTTGAAGACAAATACTAGACGAATGCTCAGAGAGACTACACCCATGCTAGAGCACTTCTTGTAGATTTGCTGCCAGAAATGCAATATTTTAAATATTTTCAGAAAGTAATGATTTTCCTTTAAAATCATATATTTCAGATTTTTGGCTGTATTGCAGTTTACATATGTACAGTTCACTTAACTTTTTAATAAATTGATATTGCAATATTTTATTGAGCTGGAAATTAAGTACATTTGTGATACTTTAAGTGTTTTGGTTTTAATCCTCTTAAAAATCTGGTATTCTTTGTTTTTTCTTGTGGTTTTTTTGTGTGTGGGTTTTTTTTGTTTTTTTGTTTTTTTTTAATAGATAGGATATAATTCAGTAGGAAGAAAACTAAAGCAATTTCATTTCGAGTGACTATTTTGCTTGTCAACTTGACAAAGAGGTCCCCAACAGAGAGTTGCTTTTCAAAAACCACATACAGTTTTTGGGGTCAGGCTGCTGGGGTTGGAAAGGCAAATACTTGTTTTGTAACTGCTGTTTGCTAGGTTTCTGTCTTGTCTGATTGGTAAGTACTTAGGCTGTATTCTTAATTGGCCCATTATTTAATAGGAAGAGAGAGAAAGTAGATATCTGTGATGTAGATTGGCATCTAGCAACTTCTCACTGATATTCCCAAAGCATGAGGATATGCTGGTTAAATTTAATTCTCAACAGATTTGTTGTGTGGTGATGAGCTGTTCTGGTAGAAATAGTTTTGGGAAAGATATTCAACAATAGTCCTTGTGTTAAAATGGTATAATGCAATTTGAGCCCAAATTCTGACATTAATATGTATTTTTTTCTTTTTTTCTAAAAACAAACAAACAAACAAACAAACTTCAAACTGTAGAACACTGAAGAGGAGATGTGGGAAGCAGTTGCATGTGTAGGATCTGACATACTTGCTTTTTATCGCTTTTCCAAGAGGAGGAGAGCACTTAAATGTCTCATTTTTTCAGTCTTACTCATACTTTACAGTATCACTATTTTAATAGTGAGAATGAGTTTCTGCCACAGAGCTGATCTTTGGTTGGTAGCAAAGAATTTCATTAATAAAGCTAGGCTATTGAACTCACTGCTTACTAATTATTGCTTAAAGGAAGGAGCTGTGCTTTGAGTTAATTAAGCCACAAGGGATGACTTTTAATTCTTAAGTCGTAATTGGGGTCCTTTTTAACGATGGGGGAATGGTATGGGTGTGGAAAAGCACTTAAACAACTAATCTGCATTTATCTTTATTCCAGTAAATGAGAATTTGTGAACGCAAGATCTACTTCCCTTCATCATGTAAATTTCTGCTTTCCAGAGCTGTAGCCTGTCACAGATAAAAGTAGCAACAACAAATGAGTAACTCTTAAGGATAGAGATAATGCGTCATAACGGCTGTCTGCATGGTAAGTTAAAAGTCAGAATGACAAAAGGGAAGTTCTCATTTTGCAAACTTAAGATATAGTCAGGATTGTGTTGCTTCTGTTGCCAGAAGGAGATTTACTGTGTTAAGAGAAGAAGGGAAATACTAATGTCCAACTGTCTGATGCTCTAACCTGCATTCCTACAGGTGCCTCTTTTTTTTACTCTTGCATATGGAATGAACATTCTTGTAACAGAGATTCTCTGCATCAGAGGAATGCAGCTGATGTTAAATGTCATGTTAAGATTTCTACACTTAGACTAGTGCCTTCACTTTACTGTTAAGAACTGAAAAATGCATTAATACCTCTCAAATGTGCAAGGCCCTTTTCTCTCTTCATCAGTGGAGTATCTTGAACGAGTGATGAATTTTTATTTCTGTACCACTTCTTTTTGTTTTCATCAGGTCTCCGCTCTCAATTCTTTTTCAGTTGTG